TCACTGCTTTTGGAAGTATAGACTGGTAAAATCACTGTGGAAGTCAGTGTCAAAATTCCTCAGAAAATTAAGACTAGAGGTCCCACTGGACCCAGCTATTGCCCTTCTTGGTATCTTCCCAAAAGAATTAAAAGCATCACACCACAATGACATATGCACACCCATGTTTATAGCAGCATGGCTTGTAAGCTAAATCGTGGGAACAGCCCAAATGGCCATCAACTGAGGAATGGAAAAAAAGGTTTTGTTTTTTTTTATAAAATAGAGTACTACTCAGCTGTAAAGAAAGATAATCTTGAGAAATATCTAGGTAAATGGATGCACCTTGAGACCATACCATTAAATAAAATGGACACGTGTAAATACTGCATTGTCTCTTTGAAATTGAAAGTGTAAGTAAGGACTAAAATATATAATAGATATTGTGAAATAGGAAGAAAATGTTGAAATGGAAAGGGAACTAGGGAGGGGCAAGGGGGAAGGATGGAAGGGAAAAAAATAAGAAAAGGAAAAAAAATGAAAACTAAGCTTTTGTAAATAGGAAGGGGAAGTGGGGAAAGGGGAAAAATCAAGATATATCACATAGAAATATAAATTCCCTATGATGAATATGGTCATCATGTATACCTAAAATGTACCAATAAACATAATTAATTTAAAAATAAATAAACATTAGTCCTAAATCTGGCAACTCACCAGAATTCAGGCTAATCACAGCATCACTCAACAACTTTTCTGGGTCTTCCCCAAAACCTGTGTTCCTCAGAGTATGTTCTTCAAGCAGCTAGGAAAAACTCTATATAATTAGACATCTGGCCATGATGTCATACTTAGCTTCACTGCTGCAGACAGATGTTAAATTTCTCATAGTATTTATATAAGCTGATGTAGACTTTCTTTCTTATATCTTATATCTTATATCTCATGTATGTTACTGAACACAGTACATTGTAAATGTACTTTCTTTCTTTCTTATGTACCAATGACACCAGTACATAGGCAATCAAATGAGTTCATAAAGATTATCTGCAAGATTGTGTAAATGTTCACATAGCACCATATCCAAAACCAATGAATTATTCCTGAAATTGTTGGCACTGTGTAATACACAAATTCCATTTGAATATATTTAAAAATAGTTGGTCCTCATATTGCACTTTCTTATCTTTACACTCTTGAGTTTTCTCACTGCTTCCTTAACTTCCCAGAACTGTCTAAGCCAGCCCATGAAAACATGGCTTTTTGGACACACCACTCTTGAAGAGTCCAGGCTCCATGAGCAACAGAAGTAATGGACACATATTACATGGATACATGAGGACATATGAAAAAATTAATGAACTAAAAAGTCCCAGGGGAGTGGAGAGTCTACTATAGGAATCCAGCTCTCTATCTGAAGACACAAGTATGCCTTTTGTCCTGTTTTAGCTGTGTGAAATGAGAATGTATTAAATTTCTCTTAACTGGTGAATCACTGAGAACTACTATGTCAAATACAAATGGAGCTCACGAGACCATGAAGATGAAATAATCCAGTCCACAATATGTCTTGTACATAGGAACTGGTTTCTTTCTAACTATAGGATAATAGAGCATACATATAGGTCTGAAGTGCTTGCAGGAGCAATAAAACCAGTGTAGAAAGGCAGATAGTGATTAAAGGTTAAAGCAGTAAGAAATATTCTGATATCATCATAAATTAAAACTAGAAATGAAGATGTGTTTCCCTTCAACCTTGCACATGCTTGGTGTCTTGTTTTTTAACTACTCAGCCCTGTGTCTTTCCATTGGAAGTTTCCATCCTATTGTCTTGTTCTGGTGATATAATCCAAACAGTGTGACCAGAGTCAGACAACACTTTACAATAAACATTAAAAAAAAGCAAAACAAAAAACACCACAGTATTTTTCCTTTTTCCAAACAGTATTATACTGCTCTCAGAATTAGTTGCTCAGGAAAGACTGATCAATAGAGCATTCAAAAAAAGACATAGTCTGGTGTCATGTTCTACAGAGGACTATATGAACAGTTGAAGGAATGAGTCTACAGATGTAACTTGAATGTGAAAGGGAAAATATCTTCATCAAATGAAAGGTAATTAAAGAGAAATGTACTGAAAAGGCACAGAATATAAGCAAACATCATAGCCAAGCCTTGGAAACTTTCAACCTGCTCAACACATATACCTAGATCTGTATTTAAGCAAATTTATGTAATGCAAAGCCAAATTCATAATAAAACACTACATATCTCATGTATGTTACTGAACACAGTACATTGTAAATCATTGGTTGTTCACAGTTCCTGTCCTTTTTGTGACAATGCAGTGACTCACTACTGCTATCTATCAACGTGAAGAAGCATTGTACCATGTACCACCAGTATGAAAAAGGAGTAAATTTCAAAATTAACTGTAAGATTTGCACTAAATAATTTTTCATTTTCTCTTCATTACTAGAAACTTAACTCAGGAGCCTCATGGACATTAGACAAGTAGTTTAGATTTGAGGAGCACACCAAAATACTTATTTCATATTGCAAAACAGCCTTGTCTTGGTTATTTTTCTCTCGCTGCTGAGACAAAATATCCAACACCCAGAATTAAGGAAGGAAAGGTTTATTTAGCTTACAGTTTATGGAGGTTTCAGTCTATTATCAGCTGGCTCCAAGACAGGGTGGCAGGGCACAGGGGCAACACTTCAAGGTGGCACAAGACAGCAAAAGCAGCAACAGCAAAAAGTGGGGTAGAAGCAAGCCCTTTTTCCTTCCTTATATTGTTAGCAGCCTACCCACCCTGAGTGGGGTGGTCCTTTACAGCATCTCAAGGAACCTCCTCTTGCACAGGCTCAGGATGAATACAAACTAAGGACCCTGGCTCCCTGCACAGTCACATAGTTAACCTTGTAAACTTCTCAAGTTGACACAATGAACAACATCCCACAGCAGTAAGGGGATGGCCTTTTCACCTCAGGTGGTAGAACTGCTGAGTCACTTAGCCAAGCCTCTGGATTCCTCAAACTGACACAATGTATCAACAATAGCACTCAGTTATCCAGGCAGAGCTTGGTGATTTAATAATCCTAAATATCCAAAGTGGCTGATATTAAAGGTGTGTACTACCATGCCTCAGTGATGTTTACTTTACACAAGCATTGTAATCTTGGTAAATCATGATGATTTAAAAACCTCAATCTTAAACTAGCAAGGGTGCACAGAACTATGTTCCCGACAGTCAAAGAGTTGGAAACTACCAAAATTTCCCAAGCCTGGGCAACTTAGTAAGATCTGGACTCAAACATTTAGAAGAAAAAAGACATTGACAGGGGGATGTAGCTCAGGGTAAAATTTTTGAGTTCATTCCCGCTACAATGAAAAAGATCAAACATCTTGAAATCTTTTCTATCCAAAAGACACCCCTTTCTATTCTAGTGATGCTGTGTACTCTATTTTTAAACCTACCACAGGACCACTTTCCTAATTTCTAACTTTTCAATAATGATTAGATGTACTGAACATTAGCCACATAAGAAATACTCATCTCTTACTAAGTTCTCCTTTCTTTAGGCCTAGGACATTTGATGCAGTCTCAGAATAGGCCAGCAGACAATCTTTCATTTATTATCACACTAAGAGCAATCTGACCTCTGGAGAAGTTTATTGTTGTCGTTGGTGACTTTTGCCACCCTCCCAAATTCCCTGCTCTCCCATTTCCATTTCACACCCATTTGCTCTTGCCTGTTCAAAAAACCCTTTTCTTCTATTCATTCTGATCTTAAGTGTGGGAATTTACTCCTACTTCACTACTTCATTTATACAAACATCTCATCCAGTGTTTCAGTTCTTAAAACAATATCTTGAAACAGTCCATAGACTGCAAAGCAATTAGTTCACAAATGGCTCCTCTTTCCTTTTCCAATCATATCAATATTACACGTACATCTCCCTGTAGATGCCCCAGTACCATGGACTGCTCAGTGTGGGCTCAACAGGCAGCCCCTTTAAACAGTTGTCCTTGGCAGAAACACTTTCCCCTCCCTTGGTAATACACTAACACCCTTCCATCTTTCTTAGCATTCTAAACTGTATGGAAACCCTCTAATTGTAAAGAAGAGTTTAAGGTAGGTAGCTAGGAAAGGCCTGACATACAGTGGGGAAATTAGCCACTGTGATAAGAATTAACATGAGAATAGCCAATTACCTAGGACTCTGGACTAGGAGTGTACTTTCTGCACAACAGAGAACTAGCCACTTCCTATGAAAAGGAGTTGCAGCCACTTCTGCTGAGTTTCCAGACTTTCCAGGAAGTGAAAACACAAAATATCCACTGTTTTTCTAAAATGCCAGTTTCGTTTTAACAGCGCATGTTCAGGAAATGGGTTAGAGAGCCTGAGCTCAAAGTGATTGTTTTAAATCCACAGAGCCCTCTATGATAGAGTCACTAAACAACTGAGCGTTTACTGTGAGCTGCGTATCTACAATTAGCTCTGGACAGAGACCACGGGGCCACTCACTCGGGACACTTCTGGGAATCACCGGTCTATTCTGATTTCCAATAAATTCTCTCCTAACATCCTTTCGGTTCGTGACCTTATCACTCAATGTTGTGAGACCACGAGCTCTGTTTACACTGGAATATCATTGCGAGTAAAGGTTTCATGTAAAAAATTCAAACGATGATTTTTCAATGCTGAGTGTGGAACCCAGGGTCTCCCAAAGCTCCTGCTCTCTGCGGACCAGTGCGTACACCTCTGCGTGGGGCCCAAAAAGAACGCATTGTGGAATAGCAGTCATAATATTGTCTGTATGCTGGGGACCCAGAACTGTCCCTGCCTGAGCAAAGGGGGAAAACAGTCAGATGATGATGCAGCACCAAAGACTAGGAAGACCTCGGTGTCTGGACTAAGCAGGGAGGCTGCAGACTGCCACAGCTGTTTCTGAGCTCTTCCGTCCCGAACGCACCCTATTCCACCCCATCCCCACCTCCCGTTCCATAACGTCACCATTGCGTAGCTTGAGGGTCTCCCAGGATCCTTCCGATGCAGCTCTCAGCCAGCAGAAGTTACAGAGAAAGGCGGTCTAATCAGTTTGGTCCTCTTAGCAAGGCACTCACAGCTCGCACTGCAGCGCCATGACACAAGAAGTGACCTCCCCCTTGGCCCACCTGATTGGTAGTTCCGGAGCCCGAACTTTCATCACTGATTGGCTCCCGCTCTTCGGCTGACAGCTGAGCTGAGAGTGACAAGAGAAACAAACCTCCTCTAGCAGCGGTGGAACTCAAATGATAAATCATTTATTCATTTATTATTTGTCTTTTTGAGATAGTTTCCCTATGCCGCTCAGGCTGGCCTTGAGCTAATTTTCTACCCTTGGCTGGCCTCAAACTTGTGGCGATCGTCCTGCCTAAGCGTCCCTAGTGCTAAGATTACAGGCGTAAGCCACGAAACCTGACTCAAATGAGAAACTGGAACCCAGGAAATTCTGGATCAGTCTCTTTCTCACAATGTCAATCTCACCTCCCAAGAGGAATGCTTGTATTTAAGAGCTTTACTCCTGGCTTTTCAAAACTCCCATGCATTTCTTAATTGACTCAGTGGACTCTTCCTGAAAATGAGTCACAATTGTACTCAGAAGTTTTCAAGGTCACTTTCTTATTTAAGAATCAATCCCCAGATATCAGAAAACATCATAAATCCAGGGAAGATCAGGACAAAATGGAATAGAGGGAGGGTCACAGAATTCGGAATAAAGATCCATACACAGATCACGCAGCATAATTTTTTTTTCTCTGTACTGGGAATCACACTCATGACCTTGTACTTGCCAGGCAAGTGCTGTGCCGCTAAGCTATATCTCCGGCCCCCCATCCACCATATTTTTGCTCTGCCAGCATTTCAATCAAGGAATATTCAGGATATGAAAGCATCACGGCAAGTGTATACAGATCATATAACACGTAGCATATCTCTGCTCTGTCGATTGAAATAATTCTCTATGTTGTCTGCTCCCATCACATTTAATGAACCACTCATGCATTCACTTCACAATACTCACTGTGCTCAGAGCTTAGAGGGCTTTCAGGGGTGATAGAGACGAGACAGATCCTTTCCTTATATTTCAATCGAAAACGAACAGAGACCAAGGAATTATTCCTAAGGGAGATAAGTGGAGGCCCAGATACAAAGCAGACCTCAGAGGAGAGATTAAAGAGTCATGGGAAATGAGCATGAGAAAGACTAAACAGACAGAAGAGTGTAGAATTTCAGACAAATGCTTCAGTAAAGAGTATTGAAAAATATGTTAAAAGTCACAGAACTGACTCCAGTTCTCTCCAAGTACACTCCAAATGATAACATACTATAAAAATATTCATCTACAAAATGTTCATAAATCTACTGATGCCTTAATAAAGATAACAAGATAAACAAAGCTGATATTGCGTTCTATTCATTAGCTGTGAAAGCAGGTTTTGGAGTATTTAAATGGCTGAAGAATCATTTAATAGACACAGTTTCATAATAATAAGCAAAACACTGATTCCCAGTGGACCCTCGGTCTTTCAGCTGGTTTATCATTGTTATAAATGTTACTTTTTGCATGTGATGTAGGGAGAAACATTTAAGGGAATAAAAATGATGAATAGCAAAATGTGGATCCTGATCAGTGACCAACAGTAAACCAATAATGGACACTGACTGGAACTGAGGCTTGTGTGTCTAGGCCGTGGACACTCAAGGGCAAGTGTAGACATCCATGTACTGTGGGTTGCTTCTTCACTCATGTCAGAGATTTCAAATCAATGACCAATGTGCAATCCAATATGTCCTCTAAAATTTATATTTTGGAAAGAGAACATCTGTTGAGACAGTGGTGAGATACATGATCCTTTACAGTTGATGGTCACATGAGTGTTTTATCTCCTGAATGGAATGATGTCAATCTGAAAATGGGGGATTTGTGACTGGGGTGAGTATCTTATAAAACAGGACCCACTTGCACTTTCTACTGCACACATGGTCACCTGGCATTCAACAGTATATCATGCAGAAAATGTGTTTCACTAGATTTTTGTGCTATGCTCTTACCCTTTCCAGCCTCAGTATTAGACTATATTTCCGTTCTTTGTTAATTACCCTACGTGTAACAACCTGACATAGGAATGAATGATAGAGTGGAACACTCACAGTCTTGATTGGAATAAGAACTCAATTATTCATATTCAGTTTGTCTGAGAGAGCAACTGCGTTGCGAGTGGGAATATGGCAGCAGGAAGGAGGACACTGAACACAAACCCTTAAGGAAGGGATAATATATTAGAGAATTAAATCTCCCAGGAGGGGTAGACAGTCCAGAGGACAGCGACTGGAGATGTACATGCATTTCAATCTCTCCCCGGCTATATGAACTTGGCATTTATTACATCTCTCTAGCATCTGTTTTCCTCAGGAAGACCAAGGACAAGCAGAATGCACTTTAGAATTTCTTTAGATGCTTCAAAAATCTAATGAGTAAACGAAGTCTTGCCTGTTGGAAGAACTTACTTTCTGAGTCTGCGATTACAGGGCATTGAATAAGGTACAGCCCTTTGACACTGTTGCTAGAGGAATAATTCTGGCCTTCAGCACACATATTTTAGGAATCTTTTTTTTTTTTTTTTTTTTTTTATACCGGGAATCGAACTCAGGACCTTGCACTTGCCAGGCAGGTGCTTATGCCGTTGAGCTATATCCCCGGCCACAGAACACATATTTTAAACCAGGCCATAAACATGTGCAAGGACAACCAAAGTGATACAGGTCCAATAACATCTCATGGTTTATTTTTTATGATTTAGACAGAGGAGGTGATAAATGACAACAGAACTATGCTAAAGTGTGGTTCAGATACAAAAAACAAAACAAACAGCACCACTAGAAAATCCTCAAAATACCCAAAAGAGAAACCTTGTTAACATAGTATAGAGGGGCTGGGGATTTAGCTCAAGGGGCTGGGGATTTAGCTCAGCGGCAAAGCGCCTGCCTGGCAAGCGCAGGTCGTGAGTTCGGTTCCTGGTACTTGAGAAAAACCAAAAAAAAAAAAAACATAGTACAGTAACATGGGAATTTTTAACACTTTCAGACAGACACAGAGTGGGAAACAAGAGGATTAGGGTTTGTTAAGATGCATTGTGAAAAATTGGTCGATAAAATGGTGAGTTTCAAACATGGAGGCTTCGAAGATAGAGTCATAAACTGAGGCACTGAGTAAAGGTGTCTGCTCACTGGGATTCTGATTCAGTCAGGTTGTTCATTCTTTCTTAACCTGCATCTTATTATTATCAAATGAAGTGTACAAAACTGTGATATGACTGTCATACCACTGCATTTTGGGAGTAAAAAGCTTGTGTTCTTGTACTGTAGGTACAAAGACAGAGACAGAGAAAAAAGAGTATCATGCCAAATTCTCCACTATATTTGATTTAAATTGTTTATATAAGGATAGGTGGGCATTGGAAGGGGTGACACTCACATGGATATTTGAAATTAGTTACTGAAAATTTTCCAATGCGTAATAATTCACTATCAAAGATGAATTTTTATGAAAAGCTATCTTGGTTACTATTCTTGTTGCTGAGCTAAAATATTTGATATGAAAGTTGAAGGAGAAAATGTTTATTTAGCTCACAGTTTATAGAGGTTTCAGTCCATAGTCAGCTGGCTCCAAAGCAGGATGGCATGCTAGAGGGACGTAACAGAGGTGAAACAGTCCATGGCATGGCAGCGCAGGGAGAAGGCAGCAAGCAGTAAGAGCAACAGCAGCAGCAAGTCTGCGTCTCTCTTTTATCCCATCTAGGCTACCAGCATTTTGGGTGGTGCCAACTACACCTTACCTATCCCTGTGAAGGTTGGTGGTCCCAACCTTCCCTTATCTATCCCCTATTCCCTTATCTATCCCCTTATCTATCTAAGCATCTGTGGGAGTCAACATTGAAAACGTATGCACAAAATGCTTTCAGATGTGCGTATGAAGGACTTTGCTTCTAAGGTGTAATGTGGTTTGTCCTGATGGGTCTCCTGAATGGTCAGTTACTAAAAAGACTCTGAACATGGAACATAGCACACCATGGAGGGAGACCATGGCTTCGCAGTTGCAGGATGTGGGAGATATTTTCTGTGCTTCTTCTCAAGCTGTCCCTAAGACTATGAGCTCAGCTGTCCCTTATGCTATCACCTCAAGTGGAACATGTACTTTCCCTGAACTATCTTTTAAATTCCTTTCTCATAGAGTGCCTTTTGTTCTCTTTTAGTATACAATGCCTTTTTTCCCATGAGGTATTTAGGACAGTGCGCTCCTTTAATAAACCAAGTGGTCATCAGCCCTGTCCTTGCGTCATGAGTCTTCTTTCTTTTCATGTGATATGAGTCGTCAGAGGTAACCACAATCATCCCTGATATTGACTGAGGAAGCCCCATTATTAATTGGGGAAATACAAGTATTGTACCCTTAACCCAAATATCATACCCTTAACCCAAAGATCATACCCTAATTGAGCCACGTTTGCAACTCCCCACCTATGAGAACATGAGGCTCTGAGGAGACATCTACATACAATCCATAATAAAGCCCTTTCCTGAGTCTCTGGACAAGGTTCTCAGTGCATTTCTCAATGATCAGTCCTGCCTTCACCCTGGCAGAGATCTGAGGGTTTGCGATGCATGCAGGTGTGTGCACGGAACGTGTGGATTTTGTGAACCAGAGAACTCTCACCTTCACCCTGGTCCTCTGCTGTCCTCTAGCCATCTGTCATCCTCATCTCATTGTTCCCTCCACTGTGTGCCTCCAGCAGCTTTTGTACCAGGGAAGTAGGTGTCACCAGTGATGCTGGGTCTTCCTATTCTTTATCTCAACTGAAGTTATATTCCAAAAGACGTCCGAGTTCTTGGCTGGAAACAACAGATTCACGTAGGACCTCACTCCAAGAACATAAACACTCAGTCCTGAAACACAGGATACAGGAGTGATGATGTTGGCCCAAGTGAGGTGCAGAGCTGGGTGAAGAGAGGAAGGTGCATTTGTGTTCCCATGTTGAGTGTGACCATGAGGTCCATGATCATATCTCAGGGTTAGTATTCTGTGTGTGAGGATATCACGTCACCTCTGCTACAGAAGTATGTGTAGGGGAAGGGGATAAAATGATTTTTCTCTGTCCACTATGTAACAGTTAATAGAACAATATAACCCTGAAAAATGTCATTATGTGTACAGGTGTATTTGATTATTTTAGGAAAATTTAGGAATAGATATGTGACTGGAAAATACAGAATTAACTCAAATAACAACTGAGATATAATAAAGAAAATGTGTAATGGCAAAATTATGAGAATCTTTTCAGGAAAGGAAAAAATGAACATTATGAAACTAGAGTACTTTACTTTTGCCTTCTCCATTATATTACTGATACATAAATTGAAGCCTAGATATGAGAAAGACAGAGAGAGAGACAGAGACAGAGAGGAGGAGGAGAAGGAGAGAGGTTTGAGAGGAAGAATGTTTATATTGTTATTTTATAAATTTTAAAATTTCTAATATCCAAAAGAAAAGTGCAGAGTGTATCAGTCAGTGCTCACAATAGAGACAGATTTATTGTAATATATACAAATACAGAAGAATTTTCCAGATTGGCTTACAATGGCCACCCGCAGAGTCTGGTGCGGGAGAGTGCAAAAGAGCTGTCTGTGGACTGGAAATCTGAAGGACGCAGTCCGAGGCCTGGAGCTCACTGCAGTGTCCCATGCAAGTCCATGTCAGGCAGAAGGGCCCATGATGGAGAGGTGAGGGGTCTGCACCCAAAGGCTGAAGGTTCTGTGCAGGAGGCTGGAGCCTGCTCTGGAAGGCGGAAGAGTCTGCACTGGAAGCCAGGAGGTGACATTTGAAATGAAGATTAACACTGAAGCTCATCTGATGAATCTCAAGTGATACTTCCTTCTTTATTTCTTTCTTATACCACTGAACCCACAAACCTCCCTAGGGTGGGCCTTCTGTCTTCAGTAAATCACCTTGGTCACATATTCAACTATGATAATCCAATTAAGTTGGGAGTTTCTTACTCAAGTTGATACAGTCACTTAACTATCACACAGGCCCAAGTCCTGACCAGCCCCTTTAGACAGAAAGCACAGCAGGGCCCTGGATGCTGCCCTGAGTCCAGTCAGAGTGCTGTTCTTCTCTCCAAGCCTGAGTGTAGGGCTCCATGGGGTGCTGGGGCTAAGCCTAGAGACCAGATCTCTGAAGGTGGCCAAGAAGTGGAGAAAGCTGGTCATTCTCAGAGCTAGCGGAAAGGAACTGAAGTATTTAATTCCCTAATCTGAAGCATTTATTTCTACGTGAGACAACTCCTTATAATTGAGATTAAATTAGCAGATTCATTTTATATGATGAGGTGATGACATTTAAAAGAAATCTGATTTCACAAAATATACAAGGTACTTCAGGATGAGTACAAGTCATGTTTACTTATCAGGTGAAATTCATACTTAGAGATGAAAAGTTCCTTCAATATGTACTTATGCAATTAAATATAACAGAGAATGTTTACGTGCACGTGGATACTGCATTGCAGCTCATGCATCGCAGGGTCTGCTCAGGTCCTGTGATGTTAATACAGAAGGGAAATCCCAGGGGCCAACAGGAAACCCCCACTCCCCTGCTTCCTTCTCTGCACCTGCTCCTGGGGCCCTGCCTGGTTCTCCATGGACCACAGCGACCCCTGCTGCATGTGAGCGCCACCACAGGGAGGTTTTTGTCTGCTCACACTGATGTCCCCTCACTGTGTCCAGCACAGTAATACATTGCGGTGTCATTGGCTCTCAGGCTGCTCATTTGCAGATACAACGTGTTCTTGCCGTTGTCTCTGGAGGTGGTGAACTGACCCTTCACAGAGTCTGCGTAGTATGTGCTACCACCACTACGGATTTCTGAGATCCACTCGAGCCCCTTCCCTGGAGCCTGGTGGATCCAGTGCATGCCATAGTTACTGAAGGTGAACCCTGAAGCCACTCAGGAGAGTCTCAGGGACCCGTCAGGCTGCACCAAGCCTCCCCCGGACTCCACCAGTTGCACCTCAGCCTGGACACCTGCAAACAGAGACATCCTGCTCAGGAAACTGTCTGATTTCCACTGTTTAACTCACTCGTGCCCACTGAAGCCCCAGTATTTTTTCTAAAAATATTACCTTTTAAAATTGCAAACAGGAAAATGCAGCTCAGCCCCAGCTCCATGGTGAGCCATCTATTTTCTGTCCTCATCACTGAATAGCAACAGCTGGGCTTCAGGGCTGGGCTCCTCTGCAGAGCTGCAGTGTTAGAGCTAAGCTGGTTTTCATCAGCAGACAGAGGCCCTATTTGCATGTCCTCCTGCTATATAGACAGCTCTGGGGAGGAAAATCTCACACGGTGCTGTCCCCACATGAGATGTGAGTGTGCTGGGGACGTTTGCTATCAGTGATTTCACAGAAGACCATATGAAAACTCACTATGAGAAAATATCTTGGTATTTCTATCTCTTCACCTACTTTTATATTTCTTGTTCACATAGCAGGCACTTTTCTATTCAATGTGTCTGCTTTGGAAACATGTATAATTATGAATGTATAAGAAACAGTTTCTATTCCTATAGGAGAGCTGATGTGCTGTAAATGTTCTCCCTGCTGTCTGAGCCTATAGTCTACCAAGCTGTGAACACACTGCTTCGTATTTCAGCTCCTAGACAAAGAAGATGCACCTGGTAATGATTGTATTCCCCTCTTCCTGTAGGGAGAACATGTGTGACTTGGCTGCATTCTGCTGTTTTCTGAGAGAAAACAGAACCAGTGTTTAGGTGGATGCCCAGTAGTGAATCTCTCATTTTCAACTGTCGTGAGCTTTCTCACTCTTTTACTGTATTTAAACGTTGCTAATCTGTGACAGATGTAATGCATAAACTGCCCATATATAAAGTGTGCACCCAAGAAGAATTAGCACACATGGACAATTTCAGAACCACACACACAGTCATACTAGTGAGCATGCAAATCTCCCTGTAGCGTGTCTTCTGGCTCCTCTGCAATCCTTTCTCCCGTTGCTTCCCTTCCGCATGCAATCACCAGACAGCTCATGACCAACCTCATGCTGCTTTACATCAACTTTCCTATTTCAACATTTATACAAAAAGCATACATCCTATAACTCTGGTCATGTTTAGCACAGAATATTTATTTGAAATATCTGCACATGCTTATGTCAGCATCCATGGATATTTATGCTGATTAATTTCCCAATATATGAAAATAGAGCTGGGAATTCAGTTCAGACGTAGGCTAATTACCTATTGCTTGCTCAATTTTTCAACCCCAGGGGCTGGGGATTTAGCTCAGCGGCAAAAAGCACCTGCCTGGCAAGTGCAAGGTCGTGAGTTCAGTTCCCGGTACCGGAGAAAAACCAAAAAAAAAATTTTTTTTTTCAACCCCAGAAAAGGAAGAACAAGCAGAAAATGAATGATTGGAAAGAAATGAGATAAAGCAGGCTTGACGGCACAAGCCTGTAATTCCAGCACTCAGGAGGCTGAGGAAGGAGAATCTTTGCATGTTCAAGATGAGCCTGGGTTACAAAATGAGCTCAAGGCCAGTCTAAACTACATAGTGATACCCTTTCTCAAAAAGACAAAAAAAAGAAAAAAGATATAATACACTTAGGTTTAATTCTTCAATGGGTCTGTAATTGGTTATTTAAATACTCTAAAGCTCTTGGTATTACAAAGAAATCTGTTCATAATCCTACAAATGTAGACACATAAAAATGTTCATCTTTCTTTATGATAAGCTCTACAAATATAACAAAAAGACAGGAATAACTAAAAATTAAAAAACTTTCTTAAGCACATCAGTGGAATGAACTTACCATAACCAAAAAACTGGGTTAACTGTAAATTAATAAATTAATAAATTTTCTCAAGTACATAAATGGAATGAAGTTGCAACAGAAAATGGAATCTGGTGATACCACGCTGACATAGCAAAATAGGACCAATACTGACTACCTGGCGCTGAGGTCACCCTATCCCATGTGATCAGATTAAGTGAGAAGCAATTCATGGATTACTAATGGCTGAGTGTGCCGAAGCATCAGAGTGTGAATATAACAGATGCGCAAACTTAGGGGGTGCATATGTCTCCTGTTGATGGTATAAAAATAACCCACAAGGAGAGACTTAAACAAATACAGGTTTTTCTTGCATTTCTGGACCCTTAGAATTCAATAACAGGCAACAGATTTGGTGTCTGGTAGGAGGTAGCTATGTGCTTTCAAATCTTGTGTAGTTTCTGTTTTCACAGATTGCAGAGGAGATGCACACTGTGTCCCTCCACTGTAGGGAGGTAAAACAAGAGATCAGCTCATGTCTCAGAGCCCTGATCTCATCTAGGAACTCAAGACCAACAGGGCAATTTCCCAAAAAAGACACTACGTGTTCATGATGTCCTCCAGCGGGCTCATGAGCTCCAATATGGAAATGCTGCAGGGCCTGTGCTCTCAAATCATAGCCTTCCACCCTGTCATCCATCCTGTTTTCATCTCATACTAAAGTTATTTTAGTCCCTCACAGTAGCCCCAAATCTTGAAATCTTTCTTGTATCAATTTAAAAGTCTGATGTAAATAAGATCTAAATAAATTACGGGTGAAATTTGGATATGACTCTCCCCAGTTTGTACACATTAAGTGCTTCAAAACTACAGTGTAGGGCCAGGTGCAAGTGGACATTCCCAATCCACAGAGCTGATACAAAGGAGTAACAAGGATCACAAACCAATAAAACTCAACTAGAGCAGCGTTTCTCCTTAATGATGCAGAGTAACCCTCTTTGACTTCATATCGTTGTGACTTTAAGTCATAATTTGACAAAGTCTTGATAGCCCCATCCTCTTGTTTTGTAGTTACAGTTGTTACATGGCTCCATACGGGTGTGAGCTAAAGCCTGCAGGCTCCCACACTAGCCTCTTAAGCTGATGGCTCTGCAGGCTGGGGGCTCTTGTGGCAACTGGAGCAACATAGGTCTAGAAGGCACTGTGCTCAGGTCCCTCTTTGAGTGTCTCTCACTGCACACTTGTGCTGGCACTGCCTCTGTGGGGAGTCTCTGCAGGTTCTCCCCTTCTGCAGTGGTTCCTGCCTGTGCCTGCAGATGGCTGGTTCTTGCGCTGAAAGGCTGACAAAGGCAGGGATGCACCACTGCTCTTGGAATTTGTGCATCTGTACAGTGAGCAACCCATGGACACCATAGATATACATGGTCTGTGCAACCACAGTGTCAGTCGTGGCCCACACTGCTCTTGAATGCAGATGCCACACATGTGCTTAGTCAGGAAGGTGGCCCCAAAATATCTGGGGCAGACACTTGAGGTAATCCTGAGAAATGGACTTGAGGTCACACGTGGACGGTCAATGACCTGTCAGTCTCTCACAACCCTGCACTCTGGGCTGTAGTGGGAGTGACAGACTTTAAGTGCCATTTGGATCATTGTTCTATTTTCCTGGTGAGCTGCATCTGGCTTCTCTCAGTCTGCGCTACTCTCCCTATCACATGATCCCTTCACATGACTTGAGTGTTCACTCTAACAAATCTTGTGCCATTTACAATTTGGCCAGTCTGGGAACTTTCAAATTATTAAGTTTCCTTTTCCTTTGAGTTGATATTTCACCTTATTGTGTTGCTCTTTTCAATTATTGTATCATTAGAAATGAACTTTATTGTGCTGTTTGTACAGACCATTTCTCGTCTACTATATTATGTTTACACACCTATGCATGGTGTCCACATCAGTGTATTATTGAGATTTTACAATAACTTTTGTAAATTTGGTTTCTGCACTGTTTTCTCTAGAAATGTATTATGTGTTATAAAATTTGGTTTATCTTTTTTGATGGCTTTTTGCATGAATTTGACCCACACACAGTAAGACCAAAGTTTATATGTACAATTGAAAGGGATTTTGCATTTTAAATCATTTGTGATTCTACATATTAATACTTATTCTGCATGCTCCTCACTATAAGAGAATTTGTGATAGTTCTAATTATTTATGTGTGATTTATGTCCTCATAGTCCCTGGAAGCTGTAGCTCTATTGTCTGCATGCAATGATTTGAAAAATGTAGATGTTCTGTGTCACCAGAGTGACACAGGAGGGAGGTTTTGTATCTGTTAGTATGTTTCTATGTGTCTTCATGAAGTAACAGGATATAAATGTAATTTCTTTAACGGTGAAGAATATCCCATGTGTGGATATAATTTCTTGGATTATCCTCTATGAACTTGTAGACTTTTAGGTAGTTTCTACATTTTGGTTACCATGAATATTTGTAGGAATGTCAGCTTCTACAACTATGTGCAAATGTGAAGTTTCAAAATTCCTTATTAATTAGCCAACTATATAAATTGTATGAAGAATTCATTTGTTAATTTTCAAAGATATTATACTATTTATAGAGCAGCTATGAAATTGCACAATGTCATCACTATTTTTGAGAGCTCTAACTTTATCACATCCTCATCAATATGTGTATTGCCTTCCATTTTTATCCTAACCATACAATACAGAATAAAATGCAAAAAACTGAAATCATTTTGCTAAGCTTTGAATGGAGATACAAGCACTCTCTTTTCTCTGAAGCTTAGGAAACTTTTCTAAAAGGCAAATCCATAATAGCAGTTCACTACGTGGGAAACCAAGAATGGAAAGGGGCAGCAAATAATGTTTACTATCCATTTTGGATTTATGAAAATGATTTATACTGACATTGTACTCATGGTTGCAGTGTCTTAATGGCAAGTACAGAAAAATAATGAACTTTGAAATTACGATTGATGAAATTGTTGATATCTAAATTATTTCAAGAAATATGTTAATGATTATGAAGTTTATAGTTATAAAATATTATACAGGCCAACTTGCATGAAGAAGACATGCAGGGCTCCTTATTCCTCCACTTAAAGACAGGGCAATGAGTCCCAGGAGGATGAAGAGTAAGGAGGACCCAGGGTCTCAGCAGCTAAAGCCTCCCCAGGGTCTGAGTGCAATTGCTCCTGTGCTGGGACCCTAGAAAGGCTGGCTCCTGTGCAGCTTGATCATACTCAGTGTCCTTGGCACCCTTTGAGGGAACTGCACATCCCTGGGTGTAAAGAGCAGGGTCTTTTGGTCCCAGTCACTGTAGGTGTGAATTTTTACCTGAGCTCAGAGGGACTGCTCCTT